CAGGCCCTTCACAGCCTGGGCATAGGAACCCAGCGAGGTCTGGGCACACGGCCCGCCCAACCCCGGGGACCTGAGCTCGCCATCTGGGACGCGCGCACCAGGTGGGGATGCCCGGCGCTGGACAAAGGACCGGGACCTGGATCCCCAGCTGGCGGCTGGCGCCACCGCCCGGCCCGGACCCTCCCGGCGCTCAGCACCATGAGGAGGGCGAGACCACAGCCCAAACTTGGTGGCCTGGGCGCGAGAAGGCGTTACCTGCGCGGCCATGAAGGAGAGATCCATGGTGTCGGCTGCCGGGGCCGCCCTGCCGCCCGCGCCCGAGTCTTCGCTGCTGCTGCGGGTCCGGCCGGCGCACAGCTGCCGGGAGCGACCAAGCAGCGCACAAGAGTCCCGGGTCCGCAGCTACGGTGGGCGCGGCCTGAGCAGTCTCCCCGCGGCGGCGCGTCCCCCGCCCAATCGTCCGGGCTGCTCTGCGCTCTGGGCTCCAGACGGCAACTGTGCGGCTGGCGCGGGGATCCTGCGCGGAGCGGCGCGGGGCGGCGCGGGGCGGGGCGGGGTTGGGGGTGGACCGGGTGCCCCTGCACGTGACCACGTCCAGACCCACCCCCGAGGGCGGAACCACTGAGCGTTCACAATCTTTTCTCCGCGTGGGCCCGAAGGAGAAACTGAGGCCTGAGGTTACCGAGCTGGTTGGTGCTGGAACCAGCCTTGAACCCCAGTCCAGGGCTCTTAGTGCACCCCCTCCACCCCCCCACCCCCGGCCTGGGCCGCTGAGCCCAGCCCATCACGGCGGCGAGCAGGGCTTTCCTGGGCCTGGCATGCCTTCCCAGACTGGAAGACCAGGGTCTGGGTGACCCATCTTGGGCTGCCAACTCCGCCACAGGGTCCAGCGCGCTGGGCCTTGGAACTGGGCAGAAGGAAGTTTGGATCCTAGCCCCGCTCTTTTGTGCGCTCCGGCCAAGATACTGTCTTTCTGAGCCTGGGCCTCGTCGTCTGCAGAATGAAGACAACAGAACCTGAGAATTAAAGGACAGAATGTACCTGACACGTAGTGTCTTCAAGAGATGTGAGCTCTGCCCGGCTGGCGTGGCTCAGTGGTTGAGCTTCGAACTATGAGCCAGGAGGTCACTGTTCGATTCCCAGCCAGGGCACATGCCTGGGTTGTGAGCTCGATCCCCAGTAGGGGGCGTGCAGTAGGCAGCCGATCAATGATTCCCTCATCATGTATATTGTTATCTCTCTCTCCCTCTCCCTTCCTCTCTGAAATCAATAAAAAAATATATTTAAAAAAAGTTGCCAACAAAAGCTTGAATGGAAGTACTTTTACTGGTAAACCACTCTATTGATATATGCTTTTCATGCATGTACCCATTTTACAGATACAGGTTGTGGAGAGCGGCTACAGCGTTTGGGCAGGTTCAAGCCTGGGACTAATGAGGGGGTACGTGCAAGTCCCAGCACAATTACAGCCAAAGGCTATGGTTGTGAGCTTGACCTTATGGTCGGAACCTGTGGTCCCACGTGGCTGAGTGATGTGGGCTGCGGAGGTGCAGCAAGTAAGCAAAGCTTGACCCGGTGCATGTAATTGAGTAGATTCAAAACCCAGGAGAACGTTGTAACCGTACCCTTACTTTGCCTCCTGGAATCTGGCTATAAAATAAAGACTCAGCTTGTGGGCCATGGCGCTGTCTCTCCATCAGAGAGGGCAGCGTCCCACCCAGACCCAGCTTTCTTCTCTTGTCTGTCTTTTCTCAATCCTTCACCGCCCCCTCTCAGGCTCCCCGATCCTGGCTGTCCTGGTGCAGCACATATGGCGCCCAATGTGTTCACCCATGGCCATGCGGCCAGGCACGCACACCCATGTAACCAGAACTACAGTCAAGTGAGGGGACCTTCCGCTCACCCCCACAAGTTCCCTCTGTCCCTCTGCACCGCCCCCCCCCTGCCCCCTCCAGCCCCAGGTTTCTGTTCTCCAGGTGATCCAGACACTGAGCGGCAGGTGCCCCTCACTCCAGATCAGCTGTGTGGTTCCAGGGTTATGGAATCACGGGGACGGGCTCCTTCCTTTGTCTGGCTTCTTCCGCGCAGCCTGACGGGGTTGGGACTCACCCACGTTGCCGCATGTATCGGTAGCTCTGCGTTACTCCCGAATGGCGCACTGATGTGCGGATGGTCCGCAGGTGCGGTGCCCGTTCTCCTGCCCAGGGACGTGTGGATTGTGTCCAAGTTTGTGGCTGTGGTGAATAAAGCGCCGGTGGACATCGATGTACACGTCTTTGCACAGGCATGTTGTGTTCGTTGTCTTGGATGGTAACGTGGGAGTGGAATCGCTGGGTTTTCCGTTGGTAAGAAATTGCCAAACTGTTTACCAAGCGTTTGGACTCTTCATTCCCACCAACAGGGTGTGAGAACTCCATTCCTCCCCCTTCTCACCAGCACTGGGTGTGCTCATTGTTTTCAGCTTAGCTGTTCTGGTGGGTGTGAAGCGGTGCTCAGTTACAGCCCACACCTGCCTTTCCCGGATTGGGGGGTAGGGTTCGGGGGAGGGGGTGCGGAGCGTGTCTCCCACGTGCTCATTATCGGCCACTCGTGTGCTTTCTGTTGTGAGAGCCTGTTCCAATCTTTCGCCCATTTTTACAAATTGGATCACTCGTCACTTAATTATTGAGATGTAAGCGTTCTTCGTGCTTTGGATACAAAGTCTCTGTCAGGTGTACGCACTGCAAATGTTTTCTCTCCGTCTGTGGCTTTTCCCGTAGTCTTAATGGTGTTTTCCACCGAAAAGTTCTTACTTTTGATAAAGTCCAATGGTTCTTTTTTCTTTTATGAGTGAGTTTTGTGACCTAAGAAATCTTTGCCCACCTCAGTGTCAGATGTTCTCCCTCCCCCTGGCCCCCAGAAGTTCTATAGTTACAGCGTTTATGTTTGCGTCTGTGACCTATTTTTGGTTTTATATGTGATGGGAACTAAAGCTCGAGGTGCTTTTTTTTTTTTTTTTTTTTTGGTCTTTCCCAAAAGGATGTCCAATTGTGCCAGCACCATTTACTGTAATGACTTCTCCTTTCTCCATGGAATTAGCCAGGACTAAGACCAGATTTAAGGAGACACAACATTTAAGGTGGCAACCCTGCACTTGTGCAACCCTGAGCGTGCCTGTTTCCTTAACATTTGATGCCTAGGCACCTTGCTGGCCCCGCCCACTGACGGGTAAGCACCAGCAGATCTGTACATTACAAACATCACTCTCGTCTCTATAACGGTGCCTGGGTGGCCTCATCCAGGCGGGTCATGATCCAGTGAGGGACGGGCAGGGGTGCATCTTTGCATAATACACTTGGAGGATACGGTTCCAGGGACAGACTCCGGGCTGCTGGGAGGCCAAGTCCTGGATACATAATTCATGTGCGCAGAGAGCTCTGGGTCCTGCGAGGACATTCCACTCCTTCAAAGGTTCTCGCAGGAAGGTCCCAGCAGGGGGCCTGGCCCTGTCCTTTCAGCCTCATGTGGGAGGCAGATGGGGAGGGCAGGGGGCCACAGAGACCCAGCGGCGGAGGCCCTAGGAAGGGCTTAAGAATCCCGGAGGTCCTCCCGAGGGACTGGGTACATTATTCAGGGCCCATCGCTGGGGTGGGGACGGCCCAGGACCCCTCCTCTTTTTATCGGGCAGACAAAACTGAGGGACAGCAAAAGGCACCGGAAATCCTGCTGTCTTCTGAGGCCTGGCCCCAACACCCCCTTCCCGGTCACTCTCTCGGTAAGACACGTGTTTTCCTGTCTACTCAGCACACGGTCTCCCCAGGGTTTTTCAAAAAGCAATCCCTCGGTCAGCATCCATTCCCCAGGGACCCTGCTAAAGGCAGGTAGAGCCCCCGAGTCAGGTTTTCTGGACGCAGACCATGCACGCAGGACGATACATGCTCCCAGGTAATTGCGAATCAGCCCCTCTCCTCCCAGCCTACACTAACCCCCCTCTCCAGGCTCTCTGGGACTCTGTGGTGATATTCTGACCCAATTCCACTCCACTTAAGAGGTCTTTACTGAGCACCGGGGTGACACCACACACAGACGTAGCATCTCGCACGCGTTGCCTCCAGACCTCAGAAAACACAGGTTCCAAGAGGTTCAGAAACCCACTCAGGTCACTCAGCAAATAAGGGCCAAGCCAGGATTTGAACCCAGATCCGATGACTGCAGAGTCCACATGTCTTCTACCCTAGGGTCCCTGCCCATGAGGAACCTATACATTAGTCAAATCAATGCAAAAACAAATCATTATAAATTGAGGAAGAATTCATTCATTCATTCATTCAGCAGGCATTCTATCCATCCATTCGCAATGTATTTCCAGAGCACCTACTGGGTTCTGAGCACTGAGCCTGGAAGGGTGGAGAACTTCAACAGCAATGAGCCCTAATATGTGGCCCACAGCTCCCCGCTGGGGGAGGCTGAAGAATAGCGGGTGCATATTGGCTCTGCCCCCTGCTGGCTGGGTGACATCAGGCAAGTTACTTAACCTTTCTGAGCCAGAGTTTTTTCATCTCTAGAAGTGGGGGTTGAATGAGATGATGAAAAGCATGCCTACCTCTGTACCGGGCACATAGTGGGAATACAGCCAAAGGAAGGGGAGAAGGTAGGGAAGACCAAGTCATGGGAGAAGGAAGGTGTTAGTTTTACATGGCAATTGCTCATGGGCTGTGCTTATTCTAGTCTGTCTGATGGGGGGCTTATAATCTGATAGATCACCTGAATTAATCAGAAAAACAATCATATATAGTATTATTTTAAATCTTAGAACACATGCACTTATGTGAATAGGGGGTTAAGTTTCTTATATGTGAACTAGAGGCCTGGTGTACGAATTTGTGCATGGGTGGGGTCCCTCACCTGGCCGAGATCAGGGCCAATGGGGAGGGGGGGCAACTGGCAGGAGGGAGGGACTGCAGGAGGTTGGCCAGCCACTGGAGGTTGGCTGTGGGAACGCACTGACCACTAGGGGGCAGCTCCTGCATTGAGCATCTTCCCCCAGGTGGTCAGTGTGCGTCATAGCAACCGATCGACTGGTGGTTGGAGCAACTGGTTGTAATGGTCACTTAGGCTTTTATATATATACATAGGGGGTTATTTTTTTTAAAGTTTTCTTTTCAAGGCTGTGCGATGCAATTGAGGAGGTGACTCAGCTGTGAATCCAGCAAGCTGAACCGATAAGCAGGGTCAGGCCGACCCACCAGGAGTCAAAACACCATCTCATTGAAGAACAATAGCTGACATCTGTGGACTTCCAGGGCTGCACGTAGCTGCATTCTGTTCCCAGCCTCACCCTAGCCCAGCCGTGGGCAAA